GAAGATCATGACGGAGAGGGAGCTGCTGGCCGTGGCCTGCGAGCAGTTCTTGGGGAAGAACGTGCAGGACGTGAAGAACGTGGTCCTTCAGACGCTGGAGGGGCACCTGCGATCCATCCTAGGTGTGGGGGGACGCGAGGGAATCCCCGGGTCTGTCCAGGCTCCCACTCGCTCGCTGCTCCCATTGGCTGCAGCCTCCGGCAGGAGAGACCAGCCAGGACGCTGGGAGAAGGGCTGAAATTGAGATGGAGTCAGGCCAGGCAAAGCCTGAGCTAGTGGCTGGGCCGTCCCATCTGAGCCTGCCCCCTTCCCCAGCTCTGCAGCAGCCAGTGGATAATGTGGGGCCTGGTTCTCTGATACCCCTAAGCCCGCTGCCGTGCTCCCGCAGCCATGCTGTGGCTCTGCTTCCTTCCCCAGGCACCCTCACCGTGGAGCAGATCTACCAGGACAGGGACCAGTTTGCCAAGCTGGTGCGGGAGGTGGCAGCTCCGGATGTGGGCCGCATGGGCATCGAGATCCTGAGCTTTACGATCAAGGTACTGCTGGGCTGAGACCATGGGCAGCGCTTCAGGGCCAGCCTCTTGGCTTCGGAAAGGGCTGTGGGGCCCAGTCTGTGGAGTTCCCAAGGGACCGCGCGTGCCCTCTGCGCAGAGCGCTGGAGTGAAACGCCCAGCCGGGCCCCACAGCGCTCCTCCCTCCCCCACTGCCTGGCACTGAGCGCTGGGGGCCTGGAAGGAGGGTGGGTGCCGGCCGTGGTGACCGCATCTCCCTCTGCCTAGGATGTGTACGACAAGGTGGAGTACCTGAGCTCTCTGGGCAAGACGCAGACCGCCGTGGTCCAGCGAGACGCCGACATCGGCGTGGCAGAGGCTGAGCGAGACGCCGGCATTCGGGTATGTTTGGCGGCGCTGCCCCGGGGCTGCCGGCCCAGGCTGCCTGCCCTCGCGCCTGAGCCTGCTCCGCTCCCTTCCCGCAGGAGGCGGAGTGCAAGCGGGAAATGCTGGACGTCAAGTTCATGTCGGACACCAAAACGGCCGACTCCAAACGGGCCTTCGAGATGCAGAAAGCTGCCTTCAGCCAGGAGATCAACATCAAGGTGAGAGCACCCGGGGGCTGCCCTCGCTGGGCCCCTGACTCGGAGAGTCCATTCGCAAGTTGCGGTCTCGGCAGGCCCTGGGTCCGAAGCAGCAGGCGTGCTGGGTGCTCGGGGCTGCAGGTCCAGGCTCGTGGCGGAAGAGAAATGCTCAGAGCACTGGGACTGGCTGGGGCAGATGGGGCAGCAGCTCCCCAGTAGCAGCTGGGGGTCCCCCGGGGATTCAGCTGGAGCGTGAGCAGAGGCCCGGGCCCTGAAGCATCCAGCTGCTCCATGGGGCTGGAACACAGCGTCCGGCGGGGCGGGGCTGTGGAGGCCCTGGCCAGGCCCGTGTGGTGCGTTCCTCCCCTGGGAGGGGCTAGCTGGGGCAGAAGAGCCTTCTAGGGACAGGACATGGGCTCCTCCCAGATCTGCCAGGCTGGAGTTGGGTCAGATTGGGGCTCCAGGCTGGGCCGGGGGGGTCACCCCAGAGGAGTG